AAGTCAGAATTCTGACTTGTTTCCCATGTTAAACTGAAATAAAATAAAAAAAATCAGTTAACTTTTTTTTTTTTTTTCCAGTGGCCCTAATCCTCTTCCGTATAAAACACTTCAGGAAAAACAGAACCTTAATCAAGCACATTGTAATTAAAACTTTTTTTTAACCTACCTAAACCAAAAAAACAAAATAAAGTTATCATTATTCACTAAAAAGTTATTATTATTCAATCTAAATCTGATCTTTCCTGTTAAGGTTTTAACTTCTTTTGACTCCCCTTCTTTTAAAAAGCTCCTTTTCCCTTCCCCCCATCTCATTGGAAGCTGGAACTTTAGAAGAAAGACTCATACCGGAAACCAGAAGCTCTCCTTTCAAAGTAAAAGGTACTTCCTGGATACATGGACATTATTTTAATTCAATTCTGTTTAAAGTGTCCATTGCAACTGTTAAGCTTGAAGACCAATGGTCATAAGGAAATACTGTCTTACATTTCTTATGTCTCCCTGTTTCCATGCACCTTACTTAAATTGTTTATTAATATCTCTCGGTGGCTACTTAGGAGGTAATCATCATGCAATATCTTTATAGAGAATGAATGGTTCCACAACCCTGCTTAAATTACTATAAACGTAATCCTGTGAGAATATTCAGGAATATTCTACAAATATTACAGTAACATTATTCCTTTGGAAGCTTTCAGGAAATGTTATTGAAATGTTTTATATATATATATATTTTTTTTTTAGAATTGACCCTCTGTAATGCTTATGCCAATGGTTTCCTGGGCATTTTCCAAATATTTTATTTCCTATAAAGGCTTTTTGTTGCATTTGTTATAAACTTTAAACAGCCTTTAAAGAGAAGTATACTCTTTATCTTAAACCCCAGAGCAGAGGTCTTCAACGGGGGTTCGCGACCCCTAAGGGGTCCACAGAACTACTGCATGGGGGTCATGAAAGTTTTGGTTGATTAGACTTTTTATATATATATATATATATATTCCCCCTGCCATTTTTTCCAGTAATTGAAATTTCTTTAAATACAAATTTACATGAATTCAACACACTGTAGTAAACAGATAAATGGAGGCAGAAGATGTCTTTCAGCCATTAATGCACACATTCAGCGACACACAGGGTCTTTTTCAAGCTGGGCACCGTTTCATTCACAACACCTGTCCCATCAACCAGGAATCAGAATTAATGTAAAAATACTTTAATAATCCCAGGGAGAAATTACTTTTGTTACATTACTCCATCTGTACTAGAGTGACTATAGGACCAGTTTGATATAACAAAATGTCATACAATATAATTTGGGGGTCCCCGCTCCATCTTGCTATCAGTTTGGGGGTCCTTGGCCTGGTAAACGTTGAAGACCCCTGCCCTAGATTTTTAGAAACCTTGCAGAACCATCAGGTGACAAAACCTTTTGGTTTATTAAAGCTACAGTGTGTAATTTTCAGCGACATCTAACGTCCAGACGGCAGACCGCAGCAACATGAACGTCTCCCCCCCACCGCTTCTCCCCCCCAACAGTACGGCGAGCGTTACGGGACAAAATGTCTTCCACGATGTCCGCATCACCTACCTTCTCAAGTGATGAGGTTTGTTTACATAGANTTTATATATTCCCCCTGCCATTTTGTCCAGTAATCGAAATGTCTTTAAATACACACTTACATGAATTCAACACACTGTAGTAAACAGATAAATGGAGGCAGAAGATGTCTTTCAGTCATCAATGCACACATTCAGCGACACACAGGAGCTTTTTCAAGCTGGGCACCGTTTCATTCACAACACCTGTCCCATCAACCAGGAATCAGAATCCGAAATACTTTAATAATCCCAGGGAAAAATTACTTTTGTTACATGACTCCATCTGTAATAGAGTGACTATAGGACCAGTTTAATATAACACAATTTCACACGATATATATAATTTGGGGGTCCCCACTCCATCTTGCCATCAGTTTGGGGGTCTTTCGCCTGGAAAACATTGAAGACCCCTGCCCTAGATTTTTAGAAACTTTGCAGGTTACAAAACCTTCTGGTTTATTAACGGAAAAAAAAAAGTCCCATCTTTTAAGGTTTTACTCTACCGAATGTTCTTTTAGTATTATAACTCTTGCATTGTTTCAGGAGACTTCAAGGGACATTCCTTAAAGGTCCCTTAAAAATATTTAGCGAGTAAAAAAAATACAGAAAAAGTTCCTGAAAGTATAAATATAATTTATATTTATGGATGTGTTTAGAATGCAGACTTAGTCTATTTTATTTATTTATTTTGTGAAAAATTGACATTAAATTTAGCTGGATAAAGCCTCCTTTTGTTAATCCGCTACATCGTACTCCACAGTCCTTTATTTTGAAGGTCTCGAGGGGAAACCCCGTTTTCTCTCGCGTAACTTGACAGAGGCCCCTTTTTTTTCATACCAAGCAGGGATTTAGGAATGTGGAGACCAGCAGCTACGTCACCCACAAAACTGCCCGGGGTGTCGTAAATGAAAAAACTTTTTTTACAGACTTTACATAATTAAACCCACCATTACAGTAAGTTTATTGTATAAAATACTTACTTAAATTGCTATATTTAACTCGTACAATTGTAAGGGATGGTATATATTTGTTTTAAATGTTTTTTTTTTAAGCGAACGCCACTCGTTAGCAAGTTAACGGCTTCGGGACATAATTAGCTTTGGGGGGTTTAAGGAGAAAAAAGGGCAAGAAGTCGCGATATTATATGTTTAGATGGAAAACTAAGTGTTAGTGAGTGTGGATGAAACAGGTTCGGGCTTGTTTTACATTGTTTGGGTAGCGGACCAGGCTGAGGTTTTCAAAAAAGGAGATTCAGAAACATGATACCGACTGATTAGCCGCTGCTAGCCCTAACACCACCCTCTTTAACACACTTAAAGGTAAGTCTTTTTATTTTGCTTTAATTAAATCTTTAGTTTTTAAGGTGTATTTAAAGGTAAAATGTCTATTAACTCCAGCTTTGCTGCTGTATTCGTTAAGAGGCGCACGTCCTCTACTGGGACGAACGTTTGCTGACTGCCTGCGGTGTTTTGATAACATTTGTCTCCCCAGGGACGCCCGTCTCCGTCTCCATGGTAACAAGCCGTTGACGCTTTCCGCTGCATGTAAAGGGGAGGTGTGGGCGGAGAGGAGAGGAGATCTCACCAAGGGAAGGATGGTAAGCAGGACAGAGGCAGGTCTGCCACCTTCTCTCCCTCCAGCTGATATTTGATGCTTATGTGAGCCGATCATTGAGCTCTTTGGTCTTTGTTTCAGCCATTTCACGATGGAGTCTACTACCCCTACAGCAGTGACACCCAGGGGACCCGCTCATCATCAGGGATCCCATCCCTCCTGAATTCCCCGCACTCCGCAAACCATCAACCAGGCATGACTTCCGCCGCTTTCCTGTCCTTCAAGTTCCGCCCGCGCAGGGAGAATGTGGACTGGCGCCGCATCAACGCCGTGGACGTGGACCTGGTGGTGAGCCAGCTTGACGTGGACGCCTTGCAGGAGCACATCGGCGCGGTGACCTTCTGCAGCTTGGATGGGGAGCGCTGCCAGCGGTGCCAGAGCCCCGTGGACCCGGCCCTGATCAAGCTGCTACGACTGTCCCAGCTCACGGTAGAGTGGCTCCTCCACTGCCAGGAGTTCCTCAGCCTCAACCTGCGGGAGGTGGAGGAGCGGCTGGCGGCGGCCGGCGGAGAGCGGGAGCAGCTGCTGGCTCAGCTCCGGAAGCAGGAGGAGAAGGCGAAGGCGCTGATGGCTGAGCTCAAACAGAGGAAGAAGGTCATACGCACCCAACAATCCCTGCTTGCTCCACGAATCATCAGCAGTCACAAGGTACAGGTCCAACTCCACCCCGCCCCCCTTCTCTCCTCCCTTTTGGGCCCCCTCTCTGTCATTGTTGAAATCAATTCACAGCTGCAGCTGAGAAATGCAGGGGGAGGCATGGCGCTTTTGTCTCAGCAAAACCTATTCAAATTCTGTCGGTAAGATCAGACCTGAAGAAAGGATTTAGAGCTGCAGAGCAGATGGTGGTTTTCTAAGTCTTTTTTTTTTGATAATCCACTTACAAAAAAAGAGGCAATAATCAGTGTTTCTCTCCTACCTCCCCCACCCACCTCCTGTGTTTACGTTTTGGTCGATTGTGTGTCTTCTAACTGAGCTTTACCCATCAGAACTACAGCTCCCTGCTAAATACTTTATACCCATAAAACTTGTCACATTAAAGCCCCAAACTTTACCTTTTATTAGGTTTTTAAGTGATCTACAAACACAAAGTAGTGTGGTGTATTTATACATGTCAGTGATCCTTGACTGAATGATTGCCTTTGACCCGACCAGAAGGTTGCCATGACTACAGCTATAGCATTTCCTGGTAGAGCCGTTGTTGCTAGGTGTAAGCATAAAGCTCAGCTAACAGAGTGGGATCAATTATTGATAGAGGAGCCACGTGTCTGTGGCACTTGGTTTATCAGTGGATTTAATGCTGAATGAAGTGGATGTCTGTGTTGGATGCAGCGTGTGGAGAGAGCAGGGATGCCTGCAGCAGGGAGCGTATCAGCATCACCCACACCGCCTGGCTTTTTAACATCCAGCTCAGTGGAGCCTCCTGTTCATGAAGGCTACAGGTTCATTCACGTCACTCTGTGATCGGCAGCTGTGTGTGTGTTGGTATGAGATTCTCACAGACTGATAGCCTTGGAGCCACAGTTTAATGGATTTTAACCCAAAGTATAAAAAAATGTTTGGCTAGTGTAAATTAATGCAGGGAAAACTGGACCTGATTGTTCTAAAGACAGTTCATACATGCTAATTTATACACTGGTATAAAAGTCTAAATCTAGATAAGTCATTTTTTCTTAAAATAAGTGCATTTGTTCTTGAATTGAGAAGGTAAAAGACACATTTTAGCAATGGGACAATATAATTTCAAGTGCATTTTATCTAAATATGTAATTTTAAGACTAAAAATACTCATTCAATTGGCAAATCATCTCATTTACCTACTGGAATTAAGGGTAAATACTTGATTTAAGAAATGTTATTTCTAGATTGTTATTCCAGTGTAGCTCACACCTGCTGTGACATCCTAAGAGTTAAAGAGATTTTTGGATTTCCTTTTAATCTACTTAAAGCAAATTTACTTTTTCTGTTTCCAGTAACTGATGATCACTCAGACTCATTTTATCTTGGTTCCTTATTTTTAATAAACAATCATCGGTCCAAACAGGGATTGGATCCAGAATAGCACAATGAAATGAAGACGCATGAAATGCTTACTTTATGTGAAAATAAATTCAATACATTTTGTGGTGTTTATCTCCATGATTAATAGAAATATTTATTTATCAAATCCATAAGCTGATGTTTACATGATTGTTTGTTTCAAGGTTAGAAATGAACGACCAGGATGCCATTGCTTTGCTAAAGAAGGAAATACTTTTAGCACTGGTAGCTAAAATACAATATTTATTATTGCACTAACATTATTTTTCCCTGTAAAAAAGTTACCATAAACATAAACATTAGAAAAAATAAAACAATTAAAATTTCCCGCAGCTGTAAAACCGTTAAACCTTCTTATCAATCCCTGCTTTTGACTTCTGCCGGTTTGTTTAGCAAGGCTTGGTAAAGATTTGAATTATTGACATAGTTTTATGGTGTTTAATATCTAAGTTTTTAAACTTTCATTTGCTGTTCAGGTAAACAGTAAAGCTGTCAGGGAAAAAAACAAGGAGGGGTGTGTTTTTATACCATGTTACTAGAAATTAATTCACCAGTTGAAATCATTTTTATACTGCCTCTGTTTTACCTCGAACAGCTTGCTCTTTCAAGGTCAGGTTCAATTCAGAAGGGGGGGTTTAGAGGTTTGCAACATTCCTTCATCATGCATACCGCCTACTAGGTGAGGAGGAACGTTTTCGATCACAAAAAAGAATATCAGGGAATAGCCAAAGCTGCCAAACTGAAGATTAGTAGACTTTGTTAAACTAACAATAGAGTGGATGGTAAATCCAAGAACTGGATTCTGACAAATACTGTAAACTTTATCAAATTAAATTACAAATCTGTTTTGGATTAACCTTTTAAAGCTTTGCTCAGGTTTCTAATTTTGTTAGAATATCATGTAAACAAAAAAATTAACCTTTTATCTTTCCTTTTACAAAACTGTCTCTGCTGCACTACCCTGTGAAACTGAAGGGATACGACTCCTGCTGATTCAGCTTTTACATTGGTGAAAATATTCATAAATATATCAATTTAAAAGCTGAAGTAACACTACTTTATGTTTTTTCCAAAGGGTTTAATAAAGAAATGGTTTCCCGTGACCTTTTTAAGCAAATGTTCCCAGTAGATTTAAAAAGCTACTTTTCCATGTTCCTGTTCAAGCTAGCTGTACCGCAAGGCTAATATGAACTTCAACAGCAGTTTACATCTTTACTTTCAGTCCAGTAGGACTAGAACCTTTAAAATTGTTTTCATATTTGAAATTAAAAAGTATTTGAATCTCTGCTACTGGTTCTGGAGCTAGTTGCTATGTCCGCTCTCCACCACAAGGGGAGCTGCAGCCCCGGTAGCTGAGAAAAAATACGCTAGAAAATGTAATATCTTCAGCTCTGTTGTCACATTTCTGCAGTTTAGGACATCTTGATTTGATCATTTTTAATGACTGTTGGGAATTTAATTATTCCCAGCAACGTTTTTAGCTGCTTTGTGTTTAAACTGTTTGCTGTGCTACAAAAAATGTATATCTAAGTAAATTTTTCTTAAAATAATGGTTTGTTCTTTTTTTAATTGAGCAAGTAAGTGAGACAATTTTTCCAATGGAATAAGATATTACATATTAAAAAAACAACTGCAGTCTCTTTTTCAAGTTCATAATATCAAATTATCTTAATTTAAGGGTAGAAATGCTTATTCTACTGGTAGATCATCTTATTTTCCTACTCAAATTAAGGGTAAATATACTTATTTTAAGAAATATTTACTCATTTTCAGAACTCAACCTGTGGTGTCTCACTGTAGAAGGAGACAGTAAACAGTCGGTTGGATTTCTGCTTTCTTTTAGTGTCTACACTGCGAAAAGTCCTTCCTCAACTCCTCTTTTCTTCATAACCACATGCAGCGCCGGCATCCTGATGAGTACCAGATCCGTAAGTCTATCACTTCCACTGGTAGGATGAAGAACTGAATGCCTTGGGAAAAGTATTCAGCCCACTTGGGCTTTTTCACAGAGTGCAACAAACAAAACTTTAAATAGCTGAAGATTGATAAAACTCCTTTGGCATCAACTCTGCATCCCCAGAGCATGATGATGATGAGACCATTTTAGTTAAACCTGCGTATGGTGTGAGGGGATTGATACTTTACTGACTTATTCCTTCCATTTCTGCCTCCACACATTGGATTATTTTAAATTTCCAGAGCTGCAGTCTGACAGTGAGAAGAAATCTCAGATTGATAGTCTCAAAATGGAGATTAGCAGTCTGAAGGAGCAGATAACTCAACAGCAACAGACTCTGCAAGTCAAAATTGCTCAGGTAGGATCCTTGTTGAAGGTGTGACAGATGGAGACGATTGGTAGACTCGATGTGATGTGAAGGTGCTTTTCATGTAGGAACAGGAACAGCAGTCCATGCAAAAAGAGCTGCTGCGAGAACTGGAGCGTTTCAAGGCGGAGGAGAGGGCACGCATGGACCGGAAGATAGAGGACAGCCGGGACGGCATGCGGAGGGAGATGGAGTTCCTCTACAACCGAAACATTCAAGCTCTCACTGTAAGAGGAGGAACCTGCTCTTTTTACTAAATTGATTAGTTTTTAAAATTAATACTGTCTTATGTTTTCCTTTGTTTATGCTTTTCTTTTCAAGGAAGTGAATCAGAATCAGACCACGAAACCAGGCAGCCCGGTCAGCTCTCAGCCAGAAAGAGATCTGGACATTTATAAAGAGATGAATCTACAGGCCTTCCGTAAGCTGGAGCAACAGATGAAGAGACAGGTCAGCAACCTGAGAGACTCTTAGAGAATTAGAGGCTCTGATAGAGAAGTCTAATGGGTCATAAACTTTCTCCTAGGATAAAAAATGGGAATCCAGGCTGCAGGAACTCAAGGCTCAACACGAATCTGAAAAGAACCAGGTACAGCATCACTTAAAGGGTCATCATGAGCTACTAGCAGCAAACGAGAGTGAAGCAGATTGATTTTTATCTCCCCAACCCCCGTCATCCTCCAGTTGCTGAACGATCTGAGCAGAATGCAGACGGAGCACCAGGAGCTCAGCCAGCGGCTGCAGCAGGAAATGGGCCGGAAGCTGCAGGAGAAGGAGCAGACCATCAAGGCTCAGAGGGAGCAGGTCAGCCTGACTGTAATCAGCACTCTGGGAGATTATGTCAAGAGAGGAAGCTGGGAGGACTGGTGGCCCTTGTTCAGGATATCCTGCATTTGCTACGTCTGCTGGTGTTAACACATAATGTTACTGTACACAGGAAGGCAATGCTGCTTTTTTGGAAGAGCTCCAGATACAAGCTAATTCTCGTGCACGGACTCTGCTTGATTAGTTGAAGGATGCAGTTTAGTATTTAGACCTGAAAGCTGGAATTTCCAGGTCTGAAGTGGGCAAAAAAAAAGCTTAATTTTACTAGAAGTTCGAGGTTTTTTCCATAATTTCACAACTCCTTTTTTTAATATGGCTTCCTTGCATATATTGCTGAGATACAGACAGTTTTAAGATTAATTGCTCATATTTATTTCCATTTTTAAAGCTGCTACCAAAAGTAGCATATATTAAAAAGACAAAATATAAATATTTTGTTTTTAATAAATGCATATAAAAAGGAAAAGCTTTGTCATTTATGTGACATTGAAGCATTATAATGTCTGAAGCTAAAAAGGAGAAATGGCTGAAAAATAACATGCCGTCAGATATTTAGTAAAAACACCTTTTTCAATCTCACCGTGGAACATTCGTTCTCAACAGAATCACAGAGGCTAGTTGAATTAATGTGCAAAATAAATAACCCAGAAATCTGCAATTGTTTTTAACATGGATATCATATTAGCATAGTATCTGGGTACACTATTAAAGTATAGATACACAGTATTTATACTTTTGACAACCTTATTCTGGGTTCTCTGTTATAAACCTGTGTTGAAAAGTAGAACGTTTTCTAATTTTTTGTTGTTTATTTTAACTTTCTGACTTTACATGGAGTTACCATTGGTTTCTAAGTTGAAGCTTGATGCAGATAGCTTCTGAGTATCCACAAAATCCACCTTGAATATAACTCTTCGGCTGTTTGCTAGGTCGGACAGCCGAACAGCGCAGGAACTTCCAACCAGAAAAAAATTCAGGAAAAATAGGCTACAGGCTTACAGATGCATCAGCTCTGAACTACTGAGGTGTCAATATGCTTTTCAAACGATGTTTTAGTCCTAGAGGTTCGAATAAAAAGGCTATTTTGAAGATATTTTTCAGTAAAAACTTACATTATGTCTTTTTAAGTGGCATTTACTTTTTGTTTGCAAAAGTTGTATTTTTGTTGTTGTTGTAAATTTCGCACTTGAAAATTGGTGACAGCAGACATGTTTTTGTCATCCTCTACAGGACCAATTAGCAAGTCATTTTGCTATGCATTTAAACATCGGTCATACGGTGTTTAAATGCATAGCAAAAGGGTCCCTTTTTGCACCTGAGCTCTGGCTCTGTGCAGCTCATCCAAAGTTGGCCAACCTGTGAGGCTTTCACAGAGCAGCTGGATTTATACTGCAATTAAGTCACACAGGTGGACTTTATTTAATAAAGATGGGATTTCTGGAAGCAAATATTGTAGTAGATAGATAAGAAAACTTTTGTTCTACTTCTGCTTCACTATTATACACTACTTTGTGGTAGTTTATCAGAAACAAATCTGGAAAGTACATTTAAATAAATTGTGATCTGACAAAATGTAGAAAAACTAACTCAATCAGGATTGTTTAACGAAATGTTCAATTTATATTCCAGCAGACTCATTTGCATGTAGGCTTGTTTCGATTATTGCAGATTAATTAGTTTGTTTTATATTTGCAATCGATTTCTGACCTCGTTTTGTTTTGTTGTTTTACTTTTTAAAATTGTTTTTAATATTTAAAAATAGCAAAAGTTTAAAAACTAGGATATTCACTAAAAGATTGTCTCTATCATGCTTATGTGTTGTTATTCCTCAGATAAAGACCATTTCCTCCAATCCACCCACCAAGGTGGTGGAAACACCCGGTAAGGAATCACTTTCTTCTTTGTCCTTTAGTCTGCTGCTGTATTCACAGCTGAAACTCGTCTAAAGCGTTAAATATGTACACCTATCACAGTTTTATTACTCTCAGCTAACTGCAGAGTAATGCTTACTTTTGTAGTCATGAAGATTGGCCAATTCTAGTTATAGCGACCAGTTTAATGTTGGGTTAGGATCATTCGGATTGTTGGAACACATATTTTATAACACAGTCCTACTGCCTTACCCCAAGATAAAAGGAAAATGTTTTGTATTCTCAGGGAATTTATTTCACTGTTCATAAGTGAAGGTAATTTAACCTGGGTGGACAAGAAAGAATAAACTTCCTCCATATGGACCCTGTAGTGTGGACAAAATTAGCAGGTTTGTTTGATATAGTTGTGATCAGGCTTTAAATGAGAACTGTGTGCTAACTGCTAAGCATGGTGGTGGGAACATCAATGCTGAGGCTCTATTTTGCTGTTTGGCATCATCCAAGCATTTTTAAATAGTAATACATAAAGTATGCTAATGCTAACCGACCAACTGAAATGAGATAATTGCTCATATCTAGAGTTGCTCTTTTGAGCCTCTGCAATGACTCTAAGTATGTTCCATATGCATTCATAACCCTGTATGCCCTGATTAGCTTTTGTTTTTTTGCAGATTAAATAAAGAAATCATATCTTTTACAACTTTTATCCAAAGTCGTTGTAATTGAATGTTTTAAAGTCACAATAAGCTCCATGGTTTATCATCATAGATGAGTGATCGGTTGCGTTCTATAACATAATTGAAGACGCTACTTTGATGCAAAGAGTAATAACATCTACTGTTAAAGCTTAAAAGATGGAATTTGGTGATCTAAACTGTTATACTTCAAGGTTGACAATAACTCGATGTACTTTTAAAGGGGGGAAAAACAATTAGGCTGATGTTGACAAAAGTGGTGTTATTCAACATTATAGCTTTTAAAGAAACCAAGCTGGAGCAATAAAAAATAAGGAATAGAAAGATGCAATGGCTGCTCCTTAACTTCCTGTGAAGGAAATATGTTTACCAGGATTTCTTTAAAAGATATCTTTTCAAAAGATTTGCAGGCCTTTTGTTTTTTAGCGTCTGTGAATTTATTAATGGAGTTTCTCAATTATGAGTGGTTCTTGTGGTACGTCCCTGTTTGTAAATAATAATATTAAGGATTATTAGTGCCATAGTAACATTCTGGACTCGGGTTCCAGATGGTTCTCTCATGGGATGTTTATTATCACAGCTGTAAATTAAATGAAAGAATATAAAAATGTCCCTCAATCAGTGTTTAATGCTTCAGTTTTTCCCTCCATTGATCTCTATTGGTTTTATATTCCTTGTTTGTAGCAACATTCCCACAGATTTGTTTACGTTTTGATTTTAAAATGCTCGTTTTTGTTAGTTTTTTTTTGTTTTTTTTGTTAAAGATGCTAGTTTAATTATTGTGCTCTTCTATGCTATTTAAATATTGTTGCAACATCTGATAAAAACCAAAAAGGATCGTCCCATGTTGGCATCTCTGCTTGTAGAAAATGTGAAGGTTTCTCAATTCAATTAGTTGCTAAGCAACCTTTAAATATACATTACTGAGTTAGTGTGTGCATCTTTGAGCCTGTATGTGGTATAAGCTTTAGAAAACAATTAAAGTTTGGTATAATCATTCTTACCTTTAAATAAACTTAATGTTTACATATCAAGCAATCCAGGGTAGAACTGCATTATCTGAGTTTCTTACAGGTCAGTTCAAATCACTGCAGACTCTAAAAACCATATCCAGCTGGTCTATGAGCTCCATTCTAATAATGACTGTTCTACTGTTTTATCGTTTCCCAGTCAGCGGACCAGCCCCAGAGCCCAAACCAAAGAGGGTCGTTCTCGGTGAGTTAGCCATATTAGAAGCAGAGCATGTTTATCTGTCCACCATTGATTGACCCGATGCTTTAGAAGCAGCTCAGTCTGCTGTTACCTTCTGTAACACCCGTTTGTCCCGGCTTCCAATGCTTGTTTACCTCCATGTGCTTAGAGGAGCCGGTCTCTGCTCTAAAGCTGGAGCCCATACAGGAGCTGTCAGAGGAGGAGAGAGGTAAAAGCGGTTCGGACCGATGGAACCAGACGGCTGCATGATGCTGCATGATTCTCCGCTGAGCGGCTCGTTGCTTGACTGTTTTCAGACTGAGATCATTTTGTGCCAAAACGTTACAAGAGTAACTTGGAATGAGAGGGTTGATTGACCTGTGATCAATTTAGATTGTCGTTTCTATCTTGTTGCCTAGTTGGTCGGCCAAACTGAAGAATAAAAACCTGTTCTCGTCCCTCTTCAGCCACGTCTGTCTAACTCATCCTGCAGCATGGCTGTCCGTCCATATTGTTTGATGCATGCTTTAGTGTTGAGATGTTTTTGTTTCTGACAGCTTGAGCTCCTTTTTTTTCTGCCAGACTCCAGCTTCTCTGAGAGGAAGCCGCTGACCAGCAAGCAAGTGACCGAGACGGCTAAGAAACCGAAAGTAAGCGCCAGTGTGGTGAAAAAGAATCCCGTCATCAAGAAGGAGATGCGATCAGAGCTGGAGCGCTCTGTAATCAAGAAGCTGGAGAGCCTGGGGGTTAAACCTGTATGAACAAAAGGATATATCTGTAAATCTGTAAATCTCTTCTCTAAAACAGCAATTTACCTGCATGACAACTGCTATTTCTTCCCCTGCTGCTCAGGACCAGAGAAGTTTGACCAACAAGGAGCTGAACTCTTTCCTGGCCAAGGTACATTCAAAGCAGGAGGCTGTTGCTAAGGCCATGCCAGACTACTGGCATTGTTGGGAGGAGATGGCAAACGTTGTGGAGCAGAAGGTGTCTGGACAGGGGAGAGACAGAGAAGCTGCTGCAGATTTCCAGACCAGAGCCAAACAACCTGTTCAAGGTGCTTTCCAGGGTTGAGTCATCAAAGAAAAGCCTCTTAATGCATGAGATCATCTCTAACTCTGCTCACGATTAACGGATTTCTGTCTGCTTTTAGTGATGCAGGTTCGTCCTCGCTCCAGCAGCCTGCCCTCCAAAGCCAGCCAGGCGGCATCAGCGGCAAACATCAAACAGCCCAGGACACCACAGCCAGCGCCGCGGACAAAAGGCTTCACCCACCCTAAGACCTCCACCCCCAACATGAAACCTGCTGGGAGGATTAGTTCAAACAGGTACAGATATATTCATTTTACACATCTTTAACTGGTTTTAGTTGCTAAAATGTAAATTTTTTTAGAAGGATGTGTGGTTTCCTTTTTCTTTTTGTTAAATAAACAATCTGTACATCCTACTATTGAGTTGCGGAATCAGTCTTTATGTAAAGTTTATTTTTTTAAAAGCAACAATCCATCACTGATATAAATTGTGATCACTAGCTGCTGTTCTCAGCATTGTGACATAACCGGCTTCTCAAACATAGAACAGGGTTTCCGCAGGTCATTAAAAATCATTAAAAGTCATTATATAACTATTTTTTAAATTAAGGCCTTAAGTGGCATTAAAATTCATTAAATATGATTATAGTGAAAAAAAAGGTTTTAAAAACAACTTAGATGATAAATGATTTTGCCGGGGTTTTTTATATATATATATATATATATATATATATGCTTCGTTGATGGCATTAAAATTATTTCTAAGAGCATTAAAAAGCATTAAATTAGAGTTTCTCATTCCTGTATAAACCCTGTAGAATAGAAGTGCTGTAACTGTATTGTTGTTTATATTTATTTTATAAAAAGGACTGGATCATCACTCTGGATCGGCATCATTTATCGAATATTTGGTCCAACTAACACATCAGTATCTGATCAATAAATCTCTAACTGTTAAAAACAGATTTTGCTCACCAATGATGAATGATAAATGATTACATGCCTAAGAATTGACTTGACTCCATTCATCCGAAGTTTAAAATGCAAATTTCTTCCACTAAGGTGAAAGTCTGAGCTGTTTGCTATGTTTCAAGTTGCATAATGTCTGCTTCTGTCTCCTTGAACCCAGTCGGCCTCGGCAGATGGCCGCTCACACTGAGCCTGGTTCTGCTGGAGGTTTCTTCCTGTTAGAGGGGAGTTTTTCCTCTCCACTGTCACTACAAGCATGCTTAGTGTGAGGGATTGCAATCAGCTGGTTTTCCTTGGATAGAAAACTTTTAATAAATTTGACTGGATGATCTGGTGAACTGTTAAGTACCTTGAGATGACGTGTTGTGTATTGGCGCTAAAGAGATAAACTGAATTGAGTAATGCTGAGTTTGTAAAAACATATCTGCTGTCCTTTCTTTTTCAAAATGTTAAATTAAAATATTTCTGTTGGTTGATTTAAAAAGTTTGGATGTCAGAGTAAGTGGCCCTCTTGCTATTTTGTTTGGGAACCTCTGCTCTAGTACATAAAATTCCAGGAAAACTTTAAAAACTGAAATAAGTTTTGAATATTTTTTTAAAAATCAATGTATTTACTATTTTCTCACATATTTTACCTCAAAAACAAACATTTATTCTAATGAAAAGCCTGTATGTCTTCTTTTCTGAAGAACTCCGCCATTTAGTTCAGAGGAGGAAGAGTCTGAGATGGAGGAGGAGCCAGAGCAGAGGGTAAATTCATTGAAGCTCAAATCAAACCAAGCAGCTCCAGTGGAAATCAGATCCAGCAGAGCTACCCCGGTCCTGTCCAGACAGACAGCAGTCAGCCAGTTCTCCTCTAAACCATCGGTGGGCAGCGTGAAAACGCAAGGAAACGCAAAGACGGAGAGCGAGGAAGATGAGTGGTCGGACGTCAGTGAAATGATGGAACCTGAGCCGAGAAAGCTGCAAGGTTTTAAAGACCAGAACGGTAACATTGATAAAGGAAACAAAGATAAAGGTTCGTTTTACATCAAATAAATTACTTTGTTTTCTTCTATTTTTTTAGCTTCACCATTTTTTTTTCTTTTTACTTTAGATAAAGTCTTTAAGTTGGTCAGAAAGGTTGAAACGCAGCTGGCAGAGAGAGGAGTGAAGAAACCAGCAGGGGGCGTCAGCGTCCTACCAGGGAGACAGGATGAGGTTCAGGAGCTTTCTGTAAGACCTGGATTCACTGCTGCTGTTTGGGTTTGATGCTTTAATGATGACCTGCAGAACAGAGGAATAATGTCGTCGTTTACAGTTTACAGATCTAGAGGAGAGCAGCGATTGGGTGGTCTCCTCCTTAGAGGACAAACATGAAGCGTCTAAGCCAGCACCTCTCCGTGGCTCTGGACCTCTGAAGAAGAGCCTGGACTCATCCAGCACCAGCGTCTGGGGAAGTTCTACCGGAAAAGGCCCCAAATCAGGTCAGTGGCATCTCGCCTCCAACACAGGAGCCTTAAACTGGAACATCTGGTTGTTTTTAGACCATTTTATCCAATTTTTAAACAAGACTGAGGAAAGGTGAAAAAGACGTTTTTGTTTCTAGCAGGTCTGACAGAAGCTGGAACAGGAAGCACTTTGAAGAGCAGCTCGTTCTCCATCAGTGACCTCAGCGACTCCGAGGATATAAGCAATAATTAACAGCAGAGCGGCGAACGTAGCACAGAAAGCTCCCCTCACATCTCCAGCCAATGCCAAAGAGCTTTTATTATTTATTCTATTGACTTTGTACCTAAATGAGAAGAAGCAATACAATAAATGACAAAACATGCTTATATTGTTCATGTTTTAGTGAGTAACTAGATGATGGCTTCTTCTTCTAAGGTGCTTTTCATGCCTTGGTTGTTTTTTATTTTGCCTTAGATCTTTTCAGACTTCATTTCTACCAGGTTTTGTACATCAAATTTTGTATTGATCTAAAACTGATATTGATTCATTAAATAAAAACTATCAGGTTTTGTATCCACTGACTCCAGTCATCCTTCCACTCATACGGCATCAGCAGATTAAACTGAGTTTATTTCATTTTAGCCTAAGCCGCCATTGGCTTTAACTCCAGTTTTCTGACTTAATTATGTTTATTAATTAACAAATTGATAGTATTTTGTTTATGCATTAGAATATTTTGTAAAAAATATTTGACTCTTAAACATTTATGGTTCAATACAGGAGTCTGGTTATTACAAGAGTTTTCTTTATTTTAAGAAAAAATGACTATTGAACATCTAACTGGTGTTAAACCTTAAGATTAAGATTATGCAAATGCTTTTTTTTCCCCATGATCAAATAATTTCAGATTCATTTGAAATGTTAACCTGCTGAGACACATGGTTTGTATTTTCATAAAATTATCAAATATGTAATTGTTTACTTTCCTTTAGGTATTCAATCAGACCAAAGTTGCATTGAATTAGGTTGATTTAATGTGGTTTGTTGTTTAAAACCACAGATTGTCAAACAAAAAAATCTGTTAGGGATTAAATTCTGAATATCTAAATTTAGGACAACTTGGAAGCACATCTGGCTACAACCTATGGTGAGTTTAAAGTAACCAATTAACCCATCCAAACGTCAGTAATGTATTTAGACTGTGGAAGGGACCTGAAGTTCAGAAAAATGCAAAATCTCATCTTTTCCTTCCTGAAAACCATAAGAGATAATCTGCTCACAAAAATGCAACTAAGTTACTTAACATTTTACATTATGAACCTAATTGTATTTGAGCTGAAGTATAACTACCTTTACTTGAGTAAATTTTTTGTACTATTTCCTCCTAAATAGCACCAGCTATTGTATAGGAGGAACTGATCTGTTGTTGGGCAACCATCTGCCATATTAGTGCCATTCAGCACTGTAACTGCAATAACTAATGTGCAATCACTATTTAATACCCTGTGTAATAATTCTGTTAAATAAGAGACTGCAGCTGTATTTTTTATATATATATAACCATCCATCTTTTTCTCCTTTTTGCAACTTCTTGACTATTGAGCTGATGTAACAAGTAGATTTCTCCACTGTGAGATCAATAAAGTCATTCAATCTGGAGGGGGTTGGAGCTGAGGGAACCAATCAGATTCTAGAGGGGTCAAGTTCACCCAATGCCGCCACCCATCTAGCTCCACCCCGGAAATGGTGAGTTATGACCCCATCATCATGAATGGTAATGTTAGGATAATTATCATTTATTATGTGTGAGTTTGTTACACATTAATATTACCTGCCTGATGTGTGTCAGAACTGATGTTTTTACTGAAATAGTTTATTTAATTAGGCCAGTTCCTCAGTCCGGCTATATACAATTATAATCTTCATTCCGTACGTGGCAAAGATTTGGAAATGTAATGAGAGCAGTGTCCTTGATCTAAGAATAAAGTGTAATATTGTGATATGGCTGGAGCCATGGATGTCTCCTCATATGCAAACATGTATGATGTGGCAGACTGGAATTGTATAAAATGCTTCTTTCACCGTTACTAAGTTTTAAAATTCTTAGTTTAAAGTATATTTAAGTATTTTAGTAGGGCCCATTCTTCTTTACTTCAATTCTCTAAAAAAACACACCAGTATATAGAAAATAATGTTTATTGTGTGAAAACTGTTCCACATAGCTATGGATCACTGATTGTTATTCAGCAACATTTACTGTGCTGTAAAAATCCCACATTCTGACACTTTGTTTCAGTTAAATCCTCTGAAAAACCTCCAACCTTATAGCTGCTCTTATCCTCAGAGCCTTTTGATCGAATCCTGTCAGGGTTTCCTGTCCAAACTATTTCAAAATCTCACCCCAAGGTTTGGTGAAAAGTTGGCAGCCCTGGGTTTAGGTATTCCTGCATGAAGTCCAGCAACGAAAGGAAAAAAACTAATTTTTTATTTGCAAAATTCCTGCATTAAAAGCCTGATCTAATCATTGCAGAATCAAATCAGAAAATTTTACTTTCATAAAATAAGCAGTAAGCACAAATAACCTTTCTTATTTTTTATTGATGAGTGAATTTTCCATTCAAAAAATGCTTAAAACATAACTTTCCATAAAATATTTTGACTTTGCTGCAAATACTCTCCAAAAATGGTGTATATTTTACAATGTAAATCATTCTGTGTTACAGATTGTTTTTATTTAGGAAACTATTTCCGCAGATATGACAGATGATTTAGTCTTGTAGTTAGTTTATTAATGCATCTTTAAAAACAATACAGCTAAAAGCAGAGCACTCAACAAAATGAGAAATTAGGACAAGAATTTATTCATCAGAAAAAAGAGGAAAAGGTGAGATTAGTACAGCACAATGAATAAGGAGAAATTAAAACAAGTTTATTATATTTAAATTACTGTATCAAGCAAAAAGCTTTTAAAAAAGCCATAATTTAAGGGTTTGGTTCCTTAAAAAAAAAAAAAAATAGGGGTTTCAGTAAAGGTTGCTTTACATTAAATAAAAAGTTTTCTTGTTACTCTACCTTTTGGCCCCAAATAATAAATTTATTAACTGTTCTTGGTTTGGACAAGGGATTCTTATGAAATCAAAATTATATCTCTCCCTATTTTATTGGCAAAACTAACAGATTAATAAAATATTTGCTTTAATATGTCAGTTTTACTAACAAGTCTCTTTGATCTTTTACCAAACGTGGCAGATTTTTTTTTGTATACTTTTCTCTTTAAACTCTTAAACTGAGTTCTGAGCTCATACAAAGGTATCCCGACTCTGAATGAAAGGAGTCCTTGTTGTCCCTCTGCTTGTTTGACTCCTGCCTGAATAATACAGCGGCGGCACTATCGTCACCCTGGATGATGATGGTGGCCGCATGTACGTCCGTCTGCTACGGACAGTGGCATAAGAAGCCGGCCTTTGAGGCCTTTTAGATGAACTGTAAAGGAAATGGACACAAACATGGTTATTTTCTCCCAGAAAGTCTTGGTAGCAATCATTTCACGTCAGAAATATAGCCTCACCTTGATATGAGACCCTCTTTCCCAGAGAAGAAAGTGAGCACACCTGCCCCACAGATGAGAAGAATGGAGCCTCCCCAGCCAACGAACACAGCAGCACCCAGTTCAAACCTGAATAAAGAGACACCACTCATATTCATTCACCTTTTATTTAGTTCTGACTTGAAAGTTTTATTTTCCTAACAATTCAATGCAACTCAATAATTCAATATCACTCACTTCTGGGCCTTGTAGTTTGGATCCACAAATTCCGATATGACTCTATTAGCCCACCACGAATATGTAATCATGCCACAAAATCCTGCCGGAAAAGTCCCTAATTTCATTAACAATGCCTTTATATTTGAATTTTAACAGTATTACAAGAAAAAAAAAATCTTTACCTGAAGCTAAGAATGTTACGCCTCCAGAAAACGTCACCCTCGAGTTAATAATCTCTGTTCCCCCAATTTTGGTGCATTTCATCCCAATGAGCGTCAGGACGCCTCCAAAGAAGCCTGTAATGACTGAACAGATTGCAAGTGCTCTGAGAGCATGCAGCCAAACTAAAAGAAGAAGAAAAAAAAAAGATATTAAACTTGTTTCCAAAACAAAAAACATAAAATATTATTTTATTACATGTAGGTACAATTTCAAGCTAAAAAGAGATGTAATATAGATTTTTCCCTAAAATGTCCATCAGACAGCTGCAGCTGATCCAAAACAAAAAGTAGAGCACATTAAACCAGTCCTCAAGTCCTTAAATTTAAACCTTAAAGACTTTAAATCCTTCTGTTAGTCTATAAATCACTGAATAGATCAGCACCTCA